GAATATATAATATACGTACATGTGTACAAGTATGCATGCATAAATGTACACATATGTGAATGACACATTAGGGTGGTGCATTATATTTGGAAATATTTAGGCTTAAGGCCTAAACATCCCGGCCCCCTTGCGGTAAGCAACATCTAAATATCGGTCGCGTTTCAGCTACCAAGCGCACATGGTTTTTACAAACAAATGTTTTCTATGTCTTGATGTTAATGATCAAATCAGGCAGCAGCGTCGGCATTCATTAAGGTAGAGTTCGTCCTTCCTTTATGGAGTGCTACTGCAGATGTAAATATAAGTGGTAATTAAGGAAATGTACGTGGTTACTTTTTCAAATGCACTTTATTTAAATTCATTATTTTATTTCATTTTAGAGTATGATAATTTAGATGTAATGTATGTATGTAAAAAAAGGAAAGTTACGCTCTAGAGACCCCGGACAGCACCCAACCAAATATGGTGCTTTGGGCGAGCAGTGGTCCAAATGTTGTGGGCAGTGTCCCAGGTAATAAAATATCTGCGTAAACGTCGGTTCCCAGGATCACGCGTATCGGTGCGGACGCATAAAAGCGAGGGTCCGCTAAGCTTATATGCGCGTACGGCTCAGCCACTGAGGCATCCGCGTTGCTAGATGGGCTTATTCTGCTAAAATTGGGTAGCGCAATAGCGTGAGTTGCTACCCGTTTATTTTGCCCATATTTTCCCCGTAAGCATAACAGACAACCTAACGCGCGTCTCGTCCAGGCGCAACTCTCGGGCTAAGTCAAGTGATATTATAGTTCGAGGGGAACATACGTCGACAAGCGCGCGGATCAAATGTAGGCGCCCTCCAGCTTCTACTTTAACGACTGCAGTCGGAGCGATAGCGATCAGTGGTTGAAGTGTTGGCGCAGCTATGGTATGGTGACCCAAGATTCCGTTTCGGAACGTACGTCGTTTCGATAGCTGGTGAGGCCGAGTCGCCAGTCTACCTTCTTTTTGTGTGCGTCGAGAGGACTTGCGTCTGGGATTACGCAGGCGGAAAGGCCTGGTTTCCGCTCCACGTAACCGGTTCCGCTCGTGCTGCAATAGGGGTCGAAAAGGCCTAGTTTCCGATCCCCCTTCTGCGAATGCGCGGAGAGGCCGAGTCTCCGCTACATCGCCTGAAAGTGCACCTTCTTCGGTATCTGGACGGAAAGGCCGCGTTTCCGTTCCAGAATCGGACGCAAGTAGCGAGATTACACCATCGGAATTTTCTTCTTCCTCCTCCACCTGTTGGGCCCATGACTTTTTCGATGTGCTGGGTTCATCCTCGAAATGTAGTGTCGAGTGGTGCTTTTCGCCACATCGTTTACATCTGCCTTCGCTCACGCAGTCTTTTAATTCGTGATTCATCGCGAGGCAATTAGCGCAGTAGCGTCCTAGTAAGGCCTCACGCAATCTTTCCTCTGGCGACTTCGCACGATACAAAGGGCTAAGCCTGATCGGATGATTTGCGTCGCATAGGCGACATGGTTGCGGATAGCGATGGGCGCGCTGTTCGGCCCTTTTCCTCATTGCGGCAAATTGAGACATCGTTTCCTCTGAAATTGTGTCGATACTTTACGTTGGTTCGAGTTTTACGCTTGATATGAGTTGTTGGGTGGCGAGTGTATCGACATTGGCTAATTACATTAAGGGCATAACTATTTCGCTGATGCATAAGAACAGTTTGGTTTGTGTAAATGGGTTTATCATTCGTACGGCGCAAACTGACTCGTGTAAATTATGTATAAGGCAAGATTTCGACCCACAAAGAAATGAAAAGTGGATCGCACAAATGCCATACATTCCATTGAGCAGGAATGCCTTGGCAAAGTTAAATTTGTATTACATCGAAAATTGTAAATTGCCTTTATGATGTTTGGAAGTGCCAATATTAAGTGAAAAAGATCATTTCCGTTGATGACTTGATCTACTAATATTCGTAATTAGCAGTTCAACTTCGTTGCATGAAGTTGTCGAAAACGTATTACTCTACATTTGGAGAGTTTTTAGCCATTCTCGCAACCCTACAACTAGTCTGCCACCCAAAAAAAAAAGGTTTGGATGCCACTGTAGGCGATACTCGCCTAAAAACAGGGTAGCTCATATGCAGCAGAATACATAAGTTTAATTTCAAATTTTATTACAAAATGTCTTATTCCATTTTGAATTTTACATAAAAATATGTGAAATATTTATAAAAGGTTAGTGCATTGATATGGGCTTATGACAATGCATCTTTTTTTTTTACATTTTTATCCCAACAATAAAATATATTTACGGTACTATGTGCTTTGTTGCAGAAACATCTTTACTGACTCGAAATATATTGTCATAATTCAAGTGGTGGTAAAAAATTCAAGAGTTGAAAGACGCAGTAGAAAATTCAATTTCGCTAAGAAGTGTAGTAGATCTACTGCCATTGCAGTAAGTTCCGAACGCTGACGGACATACTACGTTCACTTTGTGGAATGCATGTATGTATGTACATTGGTACAATTGTCAGAAACCATTCAAGGCGAATTTATACAATGGAAAACCGTATACACACATACAAGGTGAAATGATATTTCTTCATTGAAAAAAAAAAAATGTCAGAATGAATTCAATGGAAATCCGTATACATACACGGCGAATTCATATCTCATTTCAATTATATTTTTCTGGCACGCGGCGGTTGTGTAATCTTAAGGTTAGGTGAGTATGCGTAAAATATCGTATTATATAGCTATGTTTGAATGTAATTTTTTCTTAATTACAGGATGTTGCTGGGCATACTTTCTGCTGGTGTTATTTTTCGGCAAATAACACCAACATCGAGGGACTTAATCGAAGTTACTTCTCGTGAAAACACAACGACGGGCGATTGTTTGCCTTCTGTTTTTTATATTGAAAAAAGAGTTTTTCGGATTTATTTACTAGTTAGCAATACTAAAACAAAAAACACCAAAATAAATGGCGGACCAAGTGAGTTCACCACCTCCAGCAACTCCGAGTGATGCCGCCGATCGGCGTGATTTGCGTGCGGCTATGACTTCCCCAGTTGGTGACTTCGAACCATTTGAGAATGAAGACGAAATCCTTGGAGATCAGACTATTCGAGAAGAGGAAGAAGATGGAGAAGAGTTGTTCGGTGATAACATGATAAAAACGCGTTGATAAAAACGCGTTGAACCAAAATCAATTAACATTAGTCTCTTCGTATCAACATCATAAAGGAAATTCGACCAATTTGGATCGGTTTGCATGCATTCCAACTCGAACAGCTCACGCAAGCACAACTTGAGTATAGACGAAGCAATGTGATGGCGATGCTCATAGCTTAAATCGAAGCACTTGTCCAATGGTACACCTGGCACTAATTCTGTAGTCAGTACGCTGCTTGTGGTCAATTCTTTAATGACCTTCGGTACATAGTACTCGTGATAAGGTGCAATCATCTGCTTAAATTTATCTGTATATTCAGCTTCACGTGTATAATCTACTTCCCAATTTAGTTCACGTTTGGCCACCTTGACCACATTGTCAATAAAGAAGCCGTGCGGAAAGACATCCCATACTTTGAGCATGCCTACTAAATTATCAATATCACTTTCGATGCTTTGCGCAACGCCAGGATATTGAATTTTTATAGCCACTTGCATGCCATCTTTCAATGTAGCGCGATGTACCTGCCCAATGGAAGCCGCCGCAAATGGTTTCTCATCGAAACTTTCCAAAAGATTACGACAAACGGCGCCCAATTGTGTGATCATTACGCGCTCTACTTGCCAATCGGGCATATAGTCGGCCGCCTGGCGTACACGTTCAAAAGCTTTAGCCAGCTGCGGTGACACCACCTTAGAATCCTGTATACTTAGTATTTGGCCGATTTTCAATGGTGCACCTTTGTTGATGAACGTGGTATGTACACATACCGGGACCGTATTCGACGCATGTGCGAACAGAATAAATCTTCATTTGTTGTATCCTACACGGATTTGGCAAATAAAGAGCATGTACTTGCGTACTTCCTACCTGAAGCACCTTTTCAAATGCTAGAAATCTTCGACAAGGTGGCTAAAGACATGGTCTTATCAATATTTCCAACATATGAACGTGTTACAACAGAAATTCATGTTCGTATATCAGAATTGCCTCTTATAGTAGAGTTACGGACTTTCCGGAAACTCCATCTGAACCAGCTGGTGCGTACTTTGGGCGTGATAACAGCTACAACGGGTGTGTTACCTCAACTTTCAGTCATCAAATACGATTGTGTGAAGTGTGGCTACGTTTTGGGGCCCTTTGTACAGTCACAGAATACAGAAGTTAAACCTGGCTCCTGTCCTGAGTGTCAAAGTGCCGGCCCTTTTTCGATTAATATGGAACAAACATTATATCGGAATTACCAGAAGATTATCTTACAGGAATCTCCTGGTCGCATTCCCGCTGGTCGGATTCCGCGTACTAAGGACGTAATTCTTTTAGCGGATCTTTGTGACTTATGCAAGCCGGGTGATGAGTTAGAAGTTACTGGTATTTACACAAACAACTCTGATGGTTCGCTAAACACTGAGCAAGGGTTTCCGGTTTTCGCCACCGTCATTATTGCGAATCATATCGTTGTGAAGGACAGCAAACAAGTAGTACAATCGCTTACGGACGAAGACATCCCTACCATTTAGAAGTTGAGTAAAGATCCTCGGATTGCAGAAAGAATAATAGCTTCAATGGCCCCATCCATATATGGCCACGACTATATTAAACGCGCACTTGCGCTGGCTCTATTCGGTGGAGAGTCTAAAAACCCCGGTGATAAACACAAAGTTAGAGGCGACATAAACTTACTTATATGCGGCGACCCAGGAACGGCAAAATCTCAGTTTCTTAAGTACACGGAAAAATATCGCCACGTGCAGTTTTCACGACCGGACAAGGGGCCAGTGCTGTAGGCTTGACTGCTTATGTTCGTCGAAATCCAATATCGCGTGAATGGACTTTAGAGGCAGGCGCCCTGGTACTGGCGGATCAAGGTGTATGTCTTATTGATGAGTTTGACAAAATGAACGATTAGGATCGAACTTCCATTCACGAGGCCATGGAGCAGCAATCGATTTCCATATCAAAAGCTGGTATTGTCACGTCTCTACAAGCACGATGTACTGTTATTGCAGCTTCTAATCCGATCGGCGGCAAATAACACCAACATCGAGGGACTTAATCGAAGTAAGTACCCGATTAATTTGCTGGCTTTTCTGGGTAAACAGATTTTCCAAATTGCTGCCTTTTCATTGATTGACTAAGCAACGCCATAGTGAGTTATTCAATACCTACTTTTTGTTGTTAACCGTTTATTCGAGGCCTAATTGGTTTGTGTTTTTTATCAGGGATTGCTGGCATAACGACATGCTGCGTATCGTGCGATTACGAACAACAAAACACAAACAAAAAGAAGCGAACCCTTTTGGAGCCGAAGATATGTGAGTTTTTAAATATTTTTTTTTGTATTATTTTAAATTGTTCCTTTCGGGCGGGTCTTACACTATAAACTGCCTACACAGTCTATGCAATCTCTTCCAAATAAAGCGGATAGAAAACCAGCAAGCTTGCGAGGTTGAAGATTTTGAAACAAAAAAACATATCGGGTTAAACTTGCTAGTTTTCTACTGTTTGCTTTTATTCTGAGGCGGAGTAGTTCGCTACTTCTGCAGTTATTTTAATTATGGATTCAGATCTGAGGATGGTCGTTTTTGTATAGCCAGATCAACCCGGGGTAACTCGGGTAAGAACCATCACGCCAAATACAAAAAAAAAACTCAAAATATACTCCATGGTACTAAAAACAAGTTATCTCAAAAAAGGTTAGACATGGGATCCCTCCTACTACCTAGAAGTGGAATGTTGTGGTAAAAGGAAGTGGAATGTAGTAAAGTGGTGAGGGGTAATTTATGAGGCGGTTGTTGGCTCCGAGTTTCCATCGTTGTATGGCGGGAGTAGAACCAACTTCACCAGTGGTCTTGTGACTTGACCTTTCTCCGTCGAAATGTCCACTACTCGTACTCTGCTGTCGGCACCAGGGTGTACGTTGACAACTCGTCCTAACCTCCACTCAGTGGGGGTTAAGTTGTCTTCCTTGATGACGACCAGATCACCAGATTTGATATTTTCTTTGGGATGCTTCCACTTAATGCGTTTTTGAAGTTCGGTTAGGTACTCTGTTTTCCATCGCCTACAGAAAGTTTGATTCAGTGCTTTGAGTTTTTGCCACCGATTCACTATGGAGGCAGGAGTTTCATTAACGTCTAATTCTGGTGGGGCTAGAAGATGTCCACCGATGAGAAAATGGCCTGGAGTAAGCGGCTCCAGGTCAGTGGGGTTATTTGAAGAGGGACTCAGTGGCCGTGAATTGAGGCATGCCTCAATACGGCATAAAAGAGTACTAAGCTCTTCAAAGGTGTATTTGTGGGCGGACGCCATTTTCTAAAGTGGCTTTTGAAGCTCTTTACGCCCGCTTCCCACTGTCCTCCCATGTGAGGCGCTGCAGCGGGTATAAAATGCCACGTCAGCATTTGATGATTGTATTTCGAGATAGTTTTTTCTCGGGTTTCAGACAGAAAAGCTTTAAATTCAGATCGTAAGGATCGTGAGGCTCCGACAAAGTTAGTGCCGTTGTCGGAGTAAATATTTCTCGGACATCCTCTTCTAGCCACGAACCGTGCGAACGCCGCTAGAAAAGATGGGGTACTAAGATCACTAGTAGCTTCTAAGTGAATCGCTTTTGTCGTGAAACAAACAAATAAACAAACATACCCTTTAGAAACTCGACAACCTCTGCCGCGGTAACTTTTAACATCAAAAGGTCCAGTAAAGTCTACCCCCGTATTGGTGAAAGCGCGAGTAAATGTAGTGCGTTCCGGAGGAAGAGTTCCCATAAGTTGAGTTTGTGACCGTTTTTTAAAGATAATGCATGTCTTACAATTATGGATAGTGGACCTGATCAAGTTTTGACTTTGGGAATCCAGTATTGGGTACGGATGAGGCGTAGCATCAGTTGATTCTCTCCATGCAAGCAGACCTTGTGAATAAACGATACAATAAGGCGGGACAACCTGCTGTTATACGGGATAATGCTCGGGTGGCGTTCATTGTATGCTAAGTCCTGGGATGCTCCAAGGCGACCTCCGGCTCTGATGATGTCATGTTTATCGATGAACGGATTAAGCGGAAGGATTTCACTCTTCGCATCGATTGGTTTTTTAGACTTCAAGTTTGCGTATTCTTCACCATAATAATGCTTCTGGTAGATTTTTATCAGGATTTCTGCCGTTGTTTTAATTTCATTAGATGAAATTAAACAAGAATTTTCCTGAAATTAAGCTTTTGTTTTGGAATGAGTTCTTCGATAGAATCTCATAACATATGATAAAACTCTCAAAGCTCTCGGTAGATCGGAAAAACGGTCAAGAATATCGATATCATTTGCTCTTGTTGTCCCATAAGTGTGTGCTCTTTTTTCTTCAACTTCTGTATGATAGTCTGTTCCTTGAGCGGGCCACTTGGAGTTGTCTTCTTGCAGCCAAGAAGGTCCCTGCCACCACAAAGAATTGTTGACCAATTCTGACGCAGGTAGTCCTCTGCTAGCCAAATCGGCTGGATTTGAGGCCGAGTCTACGTGTAGCCAGTCCTTCTCCCCTACTTTTTCTACGATTTTCGTAATTCGGTGGGCGACGAAGGTTGACCAAGAACAAGGCGGCTTTCGTATCCATGCGAGTACGATGGTCGAGTGCGTCCATAGATGTGTCTTCACTGGTCCTAGGTTGAGGTTGTTGATTATAGATTCTATGATTTCTGCGAGCAGTACTGCTCCGCAAAGCTCCAGTCGTGGTAGCGATATAGTTTTGACGGGGGCTACTCTGGTTTTTGCCAAAAGTAGATTGACCAAAATTTTGTCATCTCTTTTGACACACATATATGCCGTAGCCGCATATGCTTTTTCTGATGCGTCGCAGAAACCATGTATCTCTATGGTGTCTCCAGGTGAGAAGTATACCCATCGAGATATTCTGATATTATCTATTTCGTGGTAATGTCTCGTAAAATGCTGCCAACGTTCTAAAATAGTATCAGACACAGTCTCATCCCTGTCTGTGCCTTCTAGCCAAATACTTTGCATGAGTATTTTGGCTACGATGACTATTGGTGCGAGCCATCCCAGTGGATCGAAAAGCTTGGCAATCGCTGACAGCATCGCCCTTTTCGTAATAGTGTCGTGCTCCTCCAATGGTCTGACCATAAAATAAAATAAATCCGTATGGGCATTCCACCTTATGCCCAGAGCCTTAACCGTGCTGGTGTCTTCGAATGCTAAGAAATCTTCGCTAAGAAGGTCCGTTTTTGGGATGCCCTTAAGAATTTCCTGACAATTTCAGGTCCATTTCCGTAGTGGAAAACCAGCTGATCGTAACACTTCTGAGATTTCATCTCTTGCTTTAATGGTAGAGTCGACGCTATGTCCTCCAGCTAACACGTCATCCACATACATGCACTTTCGTAGTATGTTAGATGCTATTGGGAAAGAATTCTCTACATCGTCGGCTAATTGCAGAAGTGTCCTTATCGCGAGGTAAGGTGCGCTATTAATCCCGAAAGTGACAGTCTTTAATTCATATAGACTTACAGGTTCGTTCGGGTTTGTACGATAAACTATTCGCTGGTATTTGGTATGGTTGTTATTCACCCAAATTTGGCGGTACATCTTCTCGATGTCGCTATTAAAAACGTACCGATATAATCTCCAGCGGAGTATTAATATTGGAAGATCTGCTTGGAGTACTGGACCTGAGTAAAGTACGTCATTTAAACTTGTACCATTAGCCGTCTGGCTTGAGGCATTAAAGACGACCCGAACTTTTGTAGAGGTGCTTTCCGCCTTTATCACAGCGTGATGGGGTAGAAAGTAATTATCGGAAGAGTCTGCTGAAATGCTACCATTTATCCTGGACATGTGTCCCAGTGATTCATATTCTGTTAGTACCCTATTATACTCCTTTTGCAGGACGGAATCCTTTGCAAGCCGTGTCTCATTCCGGAAGAACTGAGAGCATGCTATTTTAAGAGAGGGGCCTAGGCAAATGTTTGCTGGAAATTCCTGCCTAAATGGTAGCGAGACTACATATTTTCCATCTGGGTTTCTCTCAGTCGTTTTCCGATAAAGCTCTTCACAATACTTGTCGTCTTCGTTTAAATTTTTGTTTTTCGGTATATCTTCTAGTTCCCAGAAAGCTGTTAGTTGTTGATCCAAGGCAACTTCGCTATGATAAGAAACTATGTTGTTTGTTGGATTTGGTGCTTCTGTGCGACCGGTTAAAATCCAACCGAACACGGTTTCTTGGGCAAGAAGTGTACTGAGAACATTTTCCTTCAAGCCGCACAACATAATTTGGGGATAAATGTCCCCCCCAAGTACTAGGTCTACTTCTTCGTTAACGTAGAACCTTTTATCTGCTAAAATCAGATCTGGAAATGCCTGCATAGTCATAGCGCTGATATGGCAGAATGGAAGATTTCAAGTTAATTTTGTCAGCACGAGCACTGTTGCATGTAGACTAAACAGTGGGTCAACAGGGGACCGTAGTTCTATGTTGCATGCCTCCTTGACCTGAGCAGAGGTTGAATTCGTTATGCCTGAAACTTTGGCATACATCTTCTTAGATGGCAGGTTGATTCTGCGTTTGAGTCGTTCTGTTATAAGGGAACACTCCGAACCAGAATCAATGAGTGCTCGTGCTGAAAAATCTGTACCATTGAGACGTATATTTACACGAGCCGTTCCTAAAAGTACACCTGAGTTCATATTTGCATAATTAGACTTAACGTTTTTGCTTTTACCGGAGTTAGTTTTATTGAAGTTACGCCTTGCTGCAGCTTGTTGCGAGGTTGAGGCAACATCTTTGGCAGAGCTCGGTGGCGTTTGAGGCGGTGTTTCCTTTGGCGGAATTGTCTGGGTGTGCAGGAGCGTATGATGTCGCGAGTGACACGTGCCGCAATTGAAAGGGCTTGTGCATCTTGACACAGTATGTCCAGAACTCAGACAATTCAGGCAAGCATTGTTGCTCTTTAAAAACTCTATCCTTTCAGTTGGCGTTAGCTTTAGGAAATGGGAACAGCGGCGTAATTTGTGCTCATTTGTTTGGCACATTTTACATGTGTACTTGGTTACGCTTGTTTGGAACGCGCCAAGTCTTTTTATGGGGGCTTCTGAGGGATGTCTGGTGTTTTGCGGCTTTGACGCTTTTACAGACTTTGTGCCCTTTATGCCTGACATGGTTTCCAAGGTTTGAAACCTATTCGATAGGAACTTGTCCATGTCTTCCCACTTTGGTAAATCTTTCTTGTGATCTATGGTTTGTTCCCATAGAGCCAGCGTACAGTCGGGAAGTTTAGTTGAGCATAGATATACAATAATTGCATCCCAATTCGAGATGTCAATATTATGGCTCTTGAGCGCTGATAAACAATTATTTATATCGCGCTGCAACTTCTTCAGTGAGCTACCACACTCATTATCTATGGAAATTAGGTTGAAAAGAATTTTTAGTTGCGTATTTATGAGGATACGCTTATTTTCATATCTCTCACACAGGTTATTCCAGGCCGTTTGAAAACCTTCATTGGTGAGTGGACATTTTCTTACTATGTCTTTGGCTTCCCCTTGAGTCTTCTGATCCAGGTGAAATAGTTTCTCAACAGGGGTGAGCCGCTTGTTTAGGATGTATATGGCTGTGAACATGTCACGGAACGATGGCCATGACAGATAGTCGCCCTTGAACACATCTGTGTCACACGGAGGAAGGTGAATATTGTGTTCACGAACCGACTGATCTTGTACATCCTTCTCTGCATTTACAAGCGTCTCAGACTGACTAGCCATTACCGACATGCATTTGACATAGCTGGAAAACGAGCCCTTATGTTTCCGTCTAATTGCTTTAATGTCATCTTTAGAAATTCCTTCTTTATTTATGATCGCGTCATAAGCTACTTTGGTCTTTTCCCACAAAGCCTTTAGTTCGTCTTGCTGTATTGCAAGGCCGTGTTTGTTTTGCTCTGTGGCTGGTGTGCTATTGTAATCTGATTCAAATTCGATTACAGATTCTGCCAAACGAATAAAGGTTTCCATTGCGGTAATTGATCTTCAGATTACTCTTTACGAATTAAAATTTGTTGTAGTTTTCGAAAGAAGTATGTTCACTATAAATAGGAATAGACCGTGTATATTCCAAACTGTCGTATATGTATAAATGCACAGCGAAACTTTTGCCAAATTGTCGAAAAGAGTATAAGAGTACCAACGTAGATTGTTTAAACTCTACGAGCCAAAACCCAGAAGCAGTCAAGAAAACACTACGATTTAAAATTGATATCTCTTTCAGAAAATTTATGATTTTTTTTATTTTTTCAGAAAAGTGATAAGCATATGTATGTATATATATGTTTATGTGCTACTCGCCACCCAACACTGCCGACGAAGGTATATATATATATGTATAAGCATATATGTATGCACAAATTCGTGTGTACACCCAACGCAACGTCGTCAAAACTAATCCAAATGGACTTAATTTCAATTTTTACCAGCAAATATTTCGCAAATGGACTGAATTTAGCGTGGTAAAGTGATTTTTGTGAAAAAAAATGTGAAGGAAATTAAAAATTTGAGGTTATGTGACCTCAAACACAGTGAATCAGTGTAATGCAAATTTAAGAAATGTGCTGCACGAATTAAATTGCTTAAGCACAACGAAATTGAAAGTGAAATTTATCGGCGCTTTGTTAACTCGAGTAGCAAATCGAATGTGGCAAGTGGCAAAATACCAAAAAATTGTTGCAATATGTAGTGAGCCGGAAAGCAATGTGTGCTGCACTTTGATATTTAAGTTACATATATGCCACTGTTCACTGTGATATGTGTAGGTTGCACGGTGCACCAATTACGAATTGTTAATGTCGATGGACACTCTTCACTGCGGTTATTTGTACAAGTTCAACTTTTTCTTTTTTTGGTTTTTTCTCACAAATCACTTCAACTCGCTTGTATTCACTTTGAGGTTATATCTGGTAATTTTTTTTTTGTGCACTTGAATTTGTAACCACGTACCTTAGTTTCCTAGTAGCTGGTGAAACTGCTTGTTGGACGATGATGTTATCAGTGTTTTTCTGGTTCGTGGCACGAATTAGTGTGGCTGTGGCTGTAGCAGGATCGCTGTTATGTGCAGCTTGATGTGACCAAATTCCTTTTTCGTAGAAGTGGCTCAATTACTTTTTGGGTTCGCTTTTTCTTCTAATGTGGACTGTATGTTGGTTTCACGGCTCGAAGGACCAATAAAAACGTCAGTGTAACGCAGTGCGGCTCAAGTGTGGTGCGCAAAATGGTCACAATGAGGTTTGAAAATAATAGGAAAAAAAGACAAATAAAACTCGGTTTAGTTTAATGGTTTTATTAATTGTCCAAGTATTTTGATTTGATTTAGATATGTTGGTTTACAATGGTTTTACCTGAAAATAATGTGGCCTGGTAGCTGCAGTCCTTTCTCCTTGGTCTCCCGATGTGAAAGTGAAAAAATCTAAAGCCGTGATTTTCGTTCGAACCGCCGGACAAAGAAAGGACGTTGAGGGGAAATTCAACGAAAGATACTTTATCCGGCGGGAAACTTAAACTAACGGCGCGAATATATAATATACGTACATGTGTACAAGTATGCATGCATAAATGT